TTTGCTGTTATTGAATTGGTAGAGGTAATTTTTCTTTAGGATTTTAAACATTGCAGCCTGAAAAAGTTTAGAAGGATTTGAAGCCAAGGTTTAAAGACCCACAGTTCTAGACGATTCCAGAAAAATGTGACAGAATGAAAAATGTCTTCATGGTATTAACACATAGTGGGTGTATTTTACAGAAAGTTTGCGATGAATTTCTTACTTTTTGGAAAGCGTCTGAAAGAACAATAAAAACATAATATTTGAATGTTTTACATCTAATATAGAATTTTTTTCTTGACATGTTATTGTCTTTATTTTCTCTACTTTGCGCTAGTTACAAGCATGGAAAATATCAAAATTGCTTCTAATCTTATCACATGGACAGGCATTATAGAGAGGAATTTTTTTATTAATAAAGAAATTGAAAACTGGCAATTAAATTATTTGCCATTTCTAGATGCTCGATGTGTCACTAAATTCTAAAAATGCTACCATACCAGCTCTGTAACTGGCCCTCACCATGTATAGTTAATATTTCTTCTGAATGTTCTTTTTTCTAAAAAAATAAAATTAGCAGCTTTTTCTATACATTCTAAATGTATTTAGTTTTTTTAGAATAACAGAAATCTTTAATGAAATGGAAAAATTATAAAATGAAAAGGAAAGGTGTTGAAGAAAGAAACTGAATGTATAAAGAGAAAGAAAAAGATATGTGCAGTTATTACTATGTAAATTACGCTGTTGTCTATAATTTCAGCGCTTGTCTGTAATTTCCCATTTAATATTTCCTCACCAGAATGCAAATCACTTAGACAGTTTTTAAACTGTGGATTTTGGAGTGTAAGACAGAGTGTATTTCTTACCTTCGCTTACTCACTGCATTGGTTCCTACCAGCTCTGATAATTTGTAATTATTCATCTTTCCATTATCACTGCCGACATTTCAATTTGTTATGATAGAGTTACTGAACCAGCTTAAATTAAATTAAACTGTATGGTCTTTGACCACTAGTCCACATTTTTAGTTGGAATTTAACTGTTCTTGTTTAATTATGTTACTGTAAGCGGTAATTGATTTTGTTAGCAGAAGAACATGCTTTTATTTCATATATAGGCAAAATTTACTTCATGGCTGTCGGGTGGGAGGTGGACTATTTAACTTTTACCAGATCAAGTAAACCCTTTTAGGTGCATTATGGAGAGATTGAAAAGTTAGGAGATAAAGCTCGCAGAAACTAGTGAGAACATTGGTTTGCATATTCAAACAAATTTCTTATTTTTGGAAAATATGCTTAAAGAGAAGGAAATCGATATAAATTAGCCCAAATATCTGGGAAGGCTTCAAATTAAAAAGACGTATAAATATTTTGTTGAGTGTTGTTGCTACTACAAAACATAAATGTTTTTTAGCTTTTAAAGCATTATTATCCTAATAGCATTTAAGAATCAATGTCATAGATTACATGTATTTTAAACTGTGAAATTTTATTAGATTGTGATTTTAATAGGGCTTTTAAAAATATGTTAAAAAATAATAAACAATTGGCTACTTTTGGAATATGGTAAGGTAATTTGGCACATTTGGTAGCGATAAATGTCTAGGTAAGGACTTTAGCAATAATCGCGAAGTACACAGCGAATCGCAGTTATTTATCTCAGAGAAGTGAGAGATCAGAGACATGTAATGTGAATTTTCGGAACTTCCGATTGTGATTTAGCTAATAAGCACTTAGAAACAATTTTGTTTAAGGCAGAATTGCCCACTATTGTTTGGGCACTTTTTACAAGAGTTAAAAGAATTGGATTTTTGTCTATTTCCTTTGACATTTTAAATGAAACTAGGTCGATGTGTACATGGATAAAGCCAAAGGAGTGCGCAATGCCATTTTTTGTGCAATTCTGGGATGTTTTCTTAAGTGAAAATAGGTCGACGTGTACAGATACCCATATGTGCAATTCTTAAAAACGACGAAGTGGGGGCGATTGCACGTTTCCCAATTCGCGCAATCTCATCAGTTTAAGCATTTTGTTCCATAAAAGTTCTAGCTTAAGTGTATTGGCTAAAGATTGTTGGAAAAAGTGTAGAGTAAAAAAAAAAAAAAAAACTGCTTACTGCAAGAAAACAAAATGGCTCAAAAAAAAAAAAAAAAAAAACTAGAGGTTGTGTAGGTGGGGGCCAATTTTTGCCAAAAAATCGCCAAGTTACCATAATTCGAAGATTCACCATAAAATTTAATAATGGCAATGAATCCATAATGACTAAGGTTATCTAACTACCTAATTTATTTATTTATAACTAATTGCTTACCCTTAAAAATTATCTCTGCATATTAAAGCGAATTATTGCCTTTACCTGTTGTTTATTAATCCTTACCATGGTCACAAGGTACAGCACAAAAATATAAAAATTAATGTAAAACTTAATTTTTTGCATCTAGTGAGACTAAAAATAATACAATACAACTTATCACCTCTGGACAATTCCAGGAACTCTACATGAGGTTATGACACTAACTACGTCAGACAGGCAGAGTGCAACTAACTTTCAAAACTTGCCAACCGTGCCTACATCAGACCTTTCAGGTTTGTTCTTATCAGCAGGTCTCTCTCTAACAAGTAGCTGTGGTGACATCAGCCAGTCTTTTGTTATGAATCATGCTGGTTAGGATTTTACTTCTCATTTTAACCTATGTCGCTTGACATAAAATCTACCTGCTTATTTACTGAACCTCTAGACTCAGCAAGTATGTGATAAAATGAGATATAAAAAAAAGTCAGCATAAAGCTAACTTATTGAAACACAAATGAATTGCCAATTCTTTCAAATATGTTCAAATACTATGAATGTAAAATATTTAATAAATTGGTAAATTTCATAAAGTTTATTTAGTTCTCAATTTCATTATCATCTTTGGCTTGTGTTTTCTTATGCATAAATTCGATGAGGTAGGGTTTGAGGCGATAGCATTCCTCAATATGTTTTATTCTGCCATTTTGCATTTCTTAAGATGTGTTTTATATTCTGTGTATTCATACCAGTTTCAGAATTGATGAAATTGTGATTGTGTCTCACTTGGCAGTGAATATAACCAGATTGCCCCAGTTATTCCACCTAATGCCACTTCCAGTAGTCAGAAAAAATGATCGATCCATATTTAATGTGCTTTTTTATTAGTAGTAATATTTCGTTTGTTAATGTGGTAGCACTATAATTGTGGACCATGATAAGAAATGTTTCTTTTGTTTCATGACAAGTGCCTACAAATATCTTTTGAAGAGAAAGTATTCTTTCAGTGTTATTTTTATGTTTTGTGAATTTTCTTTTGTCAGCCTTTAAAAGGCAGTCGGTAATACCATTTTTTTTATTTTCTATTTCTACCATTTCAATGATGCATATCTCCCATAAATCATTATTATTCCAATCAACAATTATTTTGTCTGCCATTCCTAGTTGCTTTAGGTAGAACTTAACTGATGTTAACGCTTCATATTAGCAGTATTGTATATGTTACACAGTTTGCTTCAAACCAATTTTTTGCACACATTCTAACACTTTTTTGGCATGTGAATGTTGCACTGCCAATAAATGCATTTTTCACAGAAATGTAACTTCACTGAATGCAAAAGACTCCAGTATCAGTTTTCAGGCAGTATGCTTTTTTCGGGAAACATCAGACAGACTTAAGCAAGTTCGACAGATTCATAATGATGAAGCATTACATAAAATTTACTTTAACGTAAATGAGTTAAAATAAAATACAAGTATTTACTGCATTTGCACACTGAACTGTTGTTCTAAAGAATGTTTTGTAAAACATTCAAGTCATTGCCCACTTCACGCAGTTCGTACCAGCAGTTTATAGCTGGCATGCAGTTAATACCTATGTACTATATAATATACTTTTGTATAGGTATTAACTTAGGGGAAAAAAGAATGATTCTTATCATATATATATATATATAAATTGTAGTAAGCCGCCTAACTTTACCAAGAGCTGCTGCACCAAAAGGTTCAAAACGTTTAAAAAAAATAATACAAGAAATCAAAAATTAGACAGTAAAACATTAAAAAAAACAGAAAAGAAAAAAGTAAGCGGAAAATGGTAAATTAGCCCAATTCGACTTCCAAACTGGCTTTCAGGGAAATTTCTTTATTTGAACATATATAAGTATCATTTTTTTTCCTAAGTGCAAGCATTTTTCTTTATGTTTTTAGAAAAGATAAATTATTACACACTTTTGGGACTTACTCCCTCTTTTCAGAAATTTTTAACAGGTTATCAAAATTTAATTTTTTTTTTTTTTCCCATTATGAAAGCAGCTGTTACATAAGCCTTTTGAGGACATTTGAAAGTTTCATTTTATCGATCAGGCAGTTAAGCTTGACAATTTTTGCAACTAAGTACATGGTGTAGCTCAACAAGAAAATATCTGGTATCAACTCACCAAAAATATTATAATAAATCAGCTTTTAACTGTTTTATGAATTAACCTTAACTTTTATATCTAGCACATGAATTGAATAGATTTTGGAGAAAATACTTTTTTGGCTTAATGCATAGATTAATATACTGGAGAATATGATAATTAACAAATGTATAAATTAATTAGAACATATTTTTATACTTTTGTATAGCTTAGAATTACAATGAAAGCTGATCTCAAATTTTCAATATTGTTACAAATTATTAAAATTAGATTATTTAGCAGAGAAACATTCCCTTATTTCAGTAACAGATAATTATCTGTGGTAGTTGAAAGTTATATCCTGTATGACAAATGGTGGTTGTTTGAGAGTGTCATGCTTGTCAAAACATTTCTAGGAAATTGTGAAAGTGTTCCCCAAAGTTAACATTATTAAAATTTTGTTGATAAAAATAATTATTTTGTTGAATATAAATTTAGTTGTTTTAAATAAAATAGTGGTTATAATACATATTTTATCAACTCGATAACTAATATTTATATTATTTACTTTATTCCTATGATTATTGTTAAAATTTTATCTGTTTTAGGCGAGGTTCATGAAAAGACTGATTGGCACAGAATTAGTGTATTTAAACCAAACTTACGAAATTTAGTTCTGGACTATTTGAAAAAAGGGTATGAAAGTTTTTATACAGATACTTTTACTAGAAATATACAGATTCTTTTATTAGAAATTAATTTGCTTATTGAAAATTATGTTGACCTATTTTTATACATAAATGTATCTTTATTATAAACTTTGTAATTAAAAATTGTCTTTATTGGTTGACTGGCTAAAAATTTGCAGACCATTAATGAAGTAGGAAGTGAACATATATATTTAATATAATATCAAATTTACTACTTAATAAGTTACTAATGCTTTGTTCAAAGTTCCCCTAAATATTTTCTTAGGCTATTTTTAAGACATCTGTAGTTGCTATATATATTTTATTTATTAAATTTAAGATGAAATATTCATACAAAAAATTTAGTTGAATATGTATAGGGAGTATGCTATTATATTTGTTAAATAGCATTGTGAACTTGCTAAAAGGAATTCTGAGATGCTGGGAAAATTTTTCTAGAATTTTATGTGTAGGGTGTTTAATAAAAATGATATTATTTTTTCTAAAAAAATATATTGTGCTGCAGAATTTGAGTGAATATCAATGGATATAGAACTAGTTGAGGTGTCTAGAAGTGTATAGTAGTTTTCATAGAAGAGCAGCTGGTTTATCTATTATTGTGCAGCACAACACATGTCATGTTAAATCATACTATTTTCCACTTTTTCACGAATATTGCTGTGTGAAAATTGAAGGCAGAACATTATATAGTATATATGAAATCTGAGCAAAATGATAATTTATGGAATAAAAAATGTATATCATTTACTATGAATTATTGCTTTGGTATTATTTTTACCTCCCACCAACCTATATACATAGGCAAAGGACGAAATGTTTTTGGTCCAAAAACTGAATAGTGATTTTTATTGAATAAGCACAATTAGAGTTCCGACAACATGTTTTTACTGTTTTCACAAAAATGTCTGTTTGTGTGTATATGTGCAGTTTTTTTGTTTTGTGTGTGTGTGTTTCTAGAGTAATTTTTATATTAAACTTCCAAAAATTTTTATTTTTTGTATTTAAACTTTCTGCATTCATGTAAAAGTTTGATTAGATTGTGGCTAAAATTTGGCAACTAGAAGTGTTATTTTTCAGGAAACTCACAGGAGTTTTTAATGGACTGGAAATAATACTTTATTTGAAGTTCATAACAGTTTATAATGAAAAACTATATCAAAATATAATCCAGAACTTCCCAGTTTTAGTTTAAAGACTTTTGTATAAAATGGGAACAGCATATTAGATTTTAGCTCAAAGGGATAAGTTGGAAATGATATAAATTAGAAGCTCTGAATAGATTTTCAGGAAAAAATTATATGAATAATTTATGGTATATTCTAAAACTTCTCAGATTTGGCATTCAAAACTCGTATATCTTGCCTTTATCTGAAATTATATTCTTGCTTTTATCTGAAAGAGGAGGATATATGATTTTGGTCAAGTCATGAGGGGATTAGTGAATTCTAGAAACTGAAAATCTACTTTTTAGAATTCAAAACGTCAGTAAAAAACTATGCAGATTGATAAAAATTTCTAAATATTCTAGAATTACTGAAGGGAAAATTATGTGAAGGGACAAAATGTACAAATAAATATAATAGCACTTATTTTCCAATTTAAAATGTAATTTGCTTTAAAAAAGGGTCCGTTTTTAAACAATGTTATGTCATTTAATACTACTTTTATCTTGCATAAAAGCTATAGAATTGCAATGTACTTTCAGTAATACTTCAGATATCTTCTGGGTATCATGCAATATATGTTGTTCTTGGTTTCGTATGTGTAAAAAAAATATATGAATGTAATATTTTTCACATATTTAAATTTTTATTATATATATGATTAAATATAAAATGGCCATCACAGTTTTAAAGATGTAGGTGTAATGCTTCTGTTCTTTAACCCCTTGGCAGTCAACAAAATCTTCAATCATTGCTGTTTTATTAGGCATTTGTATCCAACAGACACTGTAACCAAAAATGGCATCTTTTTCTCTTACAATTGCTTTTATAAAGATGCTAATTTTGAGCAGAAAATTAGAAGTTAATATTTTTAAAGACAGCTGTATATTGTATTTCTTAAATCGAATACCTGTCATCAACACCTAAAATACACTTAAAGATGCATTTAAAAAGGCTGGAGTACTCTGTGACCTATGAGGTTTTATTTAACGATATGAAGGGCATTCTCATCATAATTTTTAGATAGAATGGTACAGATATGTGAGAAAGAATTCTATAGTGTATAGTTGTAAACAGTATTATTTTTGTAAAATATGTTGGTTATTTCTTTATGTGTCTGTTTTTTTTATTAACTAAAAAATAGGCACTGTTTCAATTTTTTGGAAGCTATTATTTGCCAAATACAGTAGACTCCCGATTATCCATGGAGCGGATAATCCGTGCATGCCTCACAGAGTTTTTTTTTTTTTTTCCCCACAAGTGTAAAGCAAAGAAAATAAAAATGGTCACAAAACTGAGCGAAACGTTAAATTTGCTAACATCGTGTTTATTTATTGCAAAAATATCCCAGGCCTTCTTGGAACCTTCCCCTTGGTCCCTCTGATGAGTAAGTGATTTCTTACTCACCTTTGCAGTGCCCGCTCCACCGCTCTCTCTCTCGTCTTAATCTTAGTGACACGTCCACTTCCTCCCACTCGCCATTGTGAGTTTAAGCCTGACTTCCTCCCACTCGCCATTGTGAGTTTAAGCCTGATAGTGTTTGCGAACTGGTCCAAGTTAATTTCTTCTCTTTTATTGTGCTCAGTGCTTGTGCTTTTTGGTTTTGTGTTTTTCATTACCGATTTAAAATATCAGGAAAACAAAAGAAGGTTGTGTTGAGGATTGTACAAAAACTAAAATTAATTTCCAAAGTAGCAAACAGCGCTACAAGGCAGCAGATGGAACTGGATTACAGAATCGTGGAAACAACACTGTGTGACATTCTAAAGCAAAAAGGCAAATTGGTGAACTTTGCATCAATGTCAGACAGTGCTTCCGCAATGAAAACGCGAAAAACTATGAAGGGTTCTACCTTTGATTAGCTAGACACTGCATTAACAGAGTGGTTAGCTCAAGTTCGAAAAGAGGGTACTCCTGTAAATGGTCCTATCATTGCGGTGAAGGCAAAAACCTTTTTTGAGTTGTTAGGCCTAAAAGGAAATTTTGATGTGTCTTCTGGCTGGTTGAATCGTTTAAGCAGCGACAGGGAATTCGAGAAATTGGACTTCATTGGGAGAAACTTAGTGGTGACCAACAAGCAGCTGCTGATTTCTACCATGAATTTGAAGAATTTGTTTTAAAAGAAGAGCTATCTTTTGAACAAATTTACAATGCCGACGAATCAGGACTTTTGTGGAAATGTCTTCCCACTGGTACTTTAGCATTTGAAAATGAAAGAAAAGCAGCGGGTCATAAAAGCATCAAGGAAAGGATCACTATCATGTTATGCAGTAACGCTACCGGTCGACATAAACTTAGACTTGTTGTCATTGGAAATTCAAAAAACCGAGATTTTTCAAAGTCACAAGGATAGAAAATTTGCCCGTTGATTACTTTAACCAAAAAAAAAAAAAAAAAAAAAAAAAAAAAAAAAAAGGATGAGATGAACTGCAAACAATTTTCAAGAATGGTTCGAAAACATCTTTGTTCTTCAAGTGCGTAAACATCTTAAATCGAAAAATCTGCCTGAAAAAGCTGTGCTATTGATCGACAACGTACCTTCTCACCCAGCAACAAGCATGCTAAAGTCTTCTGATGGACAAATTTTTGCAAAGTTTCTCCCCCCAAACGTTACTGCGCTAATCCAACCCATGGAACAAGGAGTCATTGCAACAATGAAGAGAAAATACGGAACCAAGCTGCTAATGACCAAAATTGAAGAAGGTTATGATCTGAAAGAGTTTTGGAAACACTACACAATCTTGGACAGCATCTACGATATTGCTTCTGCATGGGACTCAGTCAAACCATCAACCCTCATAAAATCATAGAGAAATCTCATGCCTAATGTTGAAGCCAAGAACAACCTAACCCCTTTGAATTGTGAAGATGAGAATGAAGATGTAGACACGCCCATGTCAATTCTTCCCGATATGGTGAAAATAGTTCTGGGTGGTGAGAACGTCGATGCTGAAAACGTTAATGAGTGGTTGGAGTGTGACGTCAACGAACCTGGCTTCGAACACTTGACAGATGACGAAATTGTAAAGAAAGCAAGGGGAGAGACCGAGAATGAAGGACAGCGAAGTGAAGGCGAAGAAGGAGCCCACTGTGCAGATACAGAAGACTCACGAAGCGGCTTTGCAATAAGTCAACGGATTGCTGAGTTATTTGGAAGAACAAGACGACGCAGAGTTGCCCAAGAAACTTATGCTACGAAAAATGCAATCTCGGATCAAGAGAAAATGCTTCCAAAGCAAGAAGCAAACACAAATGACTGATTTCTTCAAAAAGATGTAGTTTTACAGTTATGCTTTTGTAATTATGTAATACATTACAGTATTAAAACAGTACATATGTATTAATTTTTCTGTGTATCCTTGACGCCTCTTGTAAGTATACAAAGCACTTTTCTGTTTTCATTAACAAAATGCATTTTAGGTTAATTTTGAGTGACATACTAAAATATTAAGCATTAATTAAACATTTTCTGCTGTTTATTTTACATTTTATTGTATATAAAACGATTTTTCAAAGTTGGAATGACTGTTTTTTTCTTTTCCTATACCTATTTTTAGTTTTTTTCAGATTATCCGCGGCGGCTGCACCACTTAATTCCGCGGATAATCAGGAGTGTACTGTAGTGTGAAGTTTTTCTCTTTATAGCATTTGTTACTAATTTTCATTTCTCATTACTTTACCAGTTAAATTTTTTAAATTTCAGTTTTTTTTTTTTTTTTTTAAATTTTTTTTATTTTTCATTACTACATGGTGAGGGTATAAATTCGCCATAAGCAACCCTAACTGCAAATTCGTTATGGCTCTGTATTTCACTATTCTAATT